ATTCATTCATTCATTCATTCATTCATTCATTCATTCATTCATTCAGTTTCATTCATTCATTTTAAATAAAAGGTTGTCAATTTGAGGAAATAAAAAGAGATACTTTCATGCATATCATTATTTAAGGATATCTCGTGGTTACTGGAATTTTTGAACAATATTGTTTTTATCATAAGCACTATAAACTTATATTGAACTAAAGTTACTGAGGGTAAATCAAATTTATGAAAAGAGCATATCAGTTTGTAAAAAAATAGATATATATACAATTTTAATAAAGAGCTTGCCATAATTTAAACAGTTTTCTGTAGCTCTGTAACCAGTTTATGATTTTATTTCACCTCAGTCATACCAAAAAAAAAATCAAAATTTGCAGTCAGTTGTTGTTCTTTTTATCAGGCATGCCAGCCAGTCAGTTAAAGATCCTCTTGGACTTTATGTACACAGGAACACTGCAGCTGACTGAGTCTAATCTGGGACTGATTCAGAAAGCAGCAGAACAGCTGAAAATACAGGAGGCTGTCAGACTGTGTAAAGAGTATACGGAGAATCAGGAATGCAAGGAAGTAAAACAGGAGTTGGATGAAGGTAAGATATATTCTCTCTCTCTCTCTCTCTCTCTCTCTCTCTCCTGTATGTGTGTGTGTTTGTGAGAGAGAGAGAGATGAGGAAGGAAAAAGCAGGATAGGGGATTAAAAAATGAAAGCCAAAGTTTAATTTTGATAACATGTTTTCATTTTAAAACAAATTAAATGTAATTCCTAAATTCTTTCAAAATGCTGACTACAGATTGAATTGTCCTGGTAGACGTGGTTCTATGATACTTGTGACGTTTCCATTTAGAGACATGGCTGGTGAGGTTCCAGAGGTGCTCAGAAGATGAAGAGTCCAACACTGGGACAGTGACACAGATGACCTTTCACGATGACCTCCACAGTGACCTTGACCTTCACAGTGGCCCCCGTAAGGATCACCACAGTAGTGGTCACAGTACTGGTCAGCAGCCTAGTCATCAGAGTGCTGGACGTCCAGGTACATTGGCCATATTCATTTTGGACATGTTTTGTTGTGACTTAATATATTTGACCCTTTCATATTGAGAAATTTATGGTTAACACTTGTGAGCAGCCCCAATTTTGAGGAAATCAGAATTTTTTTATCGCATTAATTTTTCAACGAAAGAAAAAATTGCTTTAAGTATTGTGTTGGTGGATGGAAAAAATTTACAAGTGGAAAAGTCTTTATGATGTTGTTTTATTGCTCTAAAAGCATTCATACCTGAAATAAAAGGGTGAAAAAAACACTGAACAACCCTAAGATTTGACTGCTGTGCTCTATGCTCAATAAAAAGAAAAATAGAGTAAAATAAAACCTGTATTTTTGTCCACCAACCCTGTTTAGATAGAATCCATGCTGTTTTACCAACTTGTCAATTTTGTCTAGTCAAACCTTTATACTTCAGCAATTGTAAACAGAACACCAAAATGCAAGATCACAACTACTGAGGAAAAACAAATTTCAAAACATGATCTTTGAATAATTTTGCAGATGTTAAGAAGAAATGCTGCAAGAACACTGACAACCTGGAAAGTGCTGCTGATGTTAGCACTGATGATGGTGATATTACCAACACAGACCCAGAAGTGAATGGTACGGTAACTGTTTAATAATTCTTAATATCCAATTTTCTCTAATATTTGTCATCATTTTCAGACACGCACAAAAATGTATTTTCAGACATGTCAACTTATTGTTCTGATGAGGTCTTGAATCGACATAATTTTACTGACAGAATTATTTTACTAACAGAATCTATTAATGGAAAATTATTAATGCATGTTATTCACATTAATTGTAATGAGTAATAGCCTATAACCTTGGGCTGTTGGCTAATAAAATCAGATTACTTTGAATGCATTAAACAATTGACTAAATTCTTTCCAAGATATGTAATAATTTCATTTTCCTTTCTCCTCCAGGACTTCTTAAATGTGATATATGTGGAAAATCGTACCAGACGAGAGACGGACTACGAAGACACAAAAGAGTCCACTCGAATGAGTATCCTTACAGATGCGAAGAGTGCCAAAAGGGATTCCATTACGAGAATGCGCTGATGGACCACATGCGCACGAAACACCAGGAAAGCGCGATGAAGTGTGCCCTGTGCTCGTGTTGCGTGCAGACTGTGGCAGGGTGGAAACTTCACGCCTCCCTGCATGAGCGCAACGAGTCATTCCCGTGCGACAAATGCTGCAAGACGTTCCCCAATAAAATCTATTTGAATCGGCACAAAAAGACTCATACTAGGGAGTTTGTATGTGCAGTATGCTCAAAGACCTTCACCTCCAAGCAGCATTTGAAAACCCACGCCATAATTCACCAGTCGGATTTTTCACTGTCATGTGACATTTGCTCATTTGTTACGAAGCACAAGGGGTCTCTCATTCGCCACAAGAATGCTGCTCATAGTTCCGGGGCTTCCAGACACACTTGTAAGTGTGGCATTTCGTTTAAAAGGAAATATCGCCTGACGGCTCACATGGAAATTTGCAATGCGGCCCAGGAATTAGGGACAGATCCTAATGTAAAAACGTAATATTTTACGATGAGATTGTCTGCATTCAATTATGATTTTACAATCAAATTATATGTTGACTGTGATACTGTACTTAAAATATGACTGAAAAATACAAGACTGATATTAATTAAATTTGTTTAATACTTAATTAACCAAGACGACATAAGAATGAAAATCATGCGAAGTATTATTTCGGTTGTTTCACATTTTTGTCTTGAAATGAGATGTCATTCGTTATAATTTAAGAATAATTTCTTTTGATTAACAAAACTTTCATAACATAAAATATCAGTGTATTTGCATGGTTTTAATCTTCATTAAAATGGAATATATGGTTCCAAGTGGTTATAAGTGATTCTTCAAGCATGGAAGTAATTTCACTCAATCATTCACAATTAACTTGGTGCAATAATAAATCTAATTCAAAACATATTTCTAGGTGTAATTATTGTTCTTCTTTGAGATCTTTGTGGGACTAATTCATACAAATTGCAAGGCATGGATAGAGACTGGTTCTGTCAATTGCAGACTTGTCATCATTCAAATTTTATATTTTCTTTTGGCAGAAATTATTTAAAAAAATATTAGGAGATAATAGATGTAGAAAGGCAAATAGATGTTTTATTATTTTTAAAGGGAAATCAAGGAATAATAACAAGTAATTGAACTTCTTTAAAGCATTTGAGCTTAAATAAAATAATTCAAATGGAAAAAAATATGACCCCCCTCCCCGAAAAAGGATATTTACGTCACACACAAAAAACTTCTTAAAAGATCAGGGATCAGTACTTCAGTTTCGGCATAAATCCAGTTGATATAAACAATAAGTTTAACAATATTAATCAAAAGATTCAAATACATTTGAGTGTTTGAAATCTTAAACAAAAATATCAATGTGATTTTTAAACAAACTAAGTGAAACAACTAGGCAATAAAATAGCGAAACTAAACTGCAGACTTAAACCAACTTTACATGCTTTCTTACTGGGAAGAAGGTACTTATCGAAGAGAGGTCAATCGCAAATAAACACAAAAGTCATGAGGTAAAAAACAATAAAGTGCAGGTGAATTGATACATCAGCTCCCGAAGAAAGTGCAGACGGATGCTCGAAGTGCAAGGTAAAGCGGATCTTCTGCAGAGAACTGAAATTGTACATTACTTAGGTCGATGGTTAACCACCCGCGGCCGTTTCTCAGAGACGATATCGACGCGATTCGGTGTAAATCAATGCTGCCATCTTTTGGACCGTTTTGTCAGAATCCCCATTCATCACAGTGTAAATAAAATCGACGTATTTCAGGACGCTACCTCTCTTAAACGAGCTGGACCGCCCCCCCCCCCCTCATCCCACCACCAATCTCTTTTTACGTTTTAGCCCATCGCATATGCAGTGGTCTGTAGGTTAAGTCTTTCAGTTTTTATCGCAATTTCCAGGGCAGATGATATCAGTGAAATTAGCCTGAGTCTACCTAACTTAAGGCAAAGAAGATGAGTTAAGTGCAGGTTATTTCAAGGGAACATGCTGTTTGTTGCCAAACACTGCATGTGATTTTTTGTATTACTTTTTCAATTTCTTTGCAAGTTTGCAATTTACTCACGATAGTGTGATTGTTCATTCCTGAAATTACATTTCTTGTCATTTTTTTTAAACATTGTGAATGGGATTAAAATATAATGTTTTTAATCAAGCTATACAATTGCATTTCAAGCATGGAGCCCGACACGTTCATCCTGACAGCCCATGGCGCATTCTCCGCCACTGTCCTCTCCTGCCTGAATGAGCTCTACCAAAATGGCGTCCTGTGTGATGTCACCCTAATGGCGCAGAACCTGATGGAGTTTCCCGCACACAAGGTTGTTCTGGTCAGCAGTTCTGGCTACTTTAAGACACTGCTGGACCAGGGCTACTTGCTGGGAGACGATAGGCAGATTACTACTGGTGAGTTTTATTTAGCCTTAGGAACCATTCCCACAGATATTTGGATAGATCTATCTCACTAAATTGCTATCAGACTAACCAGACTAAACATCTGTCATGCTTAGTAAAACTGTTGGGGGTAATTATCTTTACCCCTGGCTGATTCGGTAGGCGTGACAGACATTTAAGCCTCTTGAGCTGATAGCAATTTAGCGTGAACCCCCAGGGAGTTAGGTCGATCCAGATGGATCGATCTAAGTATGGGAACCCAGTCTTAAAGCATGATGATATACATGTTATATTTGGGTAAAGCTGAAAAAAGGTAATATTCCAGGTAGCTGCTGGTAGATGACTGGCAAATTACTACTAGTGAATGGGCTTTAAAGCTTTGAAGCGTGCAGCGCATGCTAGATGTGGGTATAGCAGAAAAAATGTGAATTTACCAGGAAAATTGAGCATTTTACTCTCTATCATTGAGAAAGCAGTGCTTAATAAGCAGGTTGTATTTTAGTCATTGGGAATGGTCAGTATGACTGGTCAGTACGAATGGTCATTGAGACTGGACATTGAGACATGTTTTTAAAAAAAGGCCCTTCCTGATCACTCAGACCCGGTCATCTCTTAAGATCTGAGAAATACATTGAATTTCATGTCAGTCAGTTGGTAAATGTTTAATATATATTCTGAATTAAGCAAATAAAAGAGAATAGAGATAGTGAAATAAATGAATGAATTAAAACGGACAAGAATGAATTACCATAAATATAAAAAATATGAACACATCCTTTCTATTCCAGGCATGCCAGCCAGTCAGCTAAAGATCCTCTTGGACTTTATGTACACAGGAACACTGCAGCTGACTGAGTCTAATCTGGGACTGATCCAGAAGGCAGCAGAACAGCTGAAAATAGAGGAGGCTGTCAGACTGTGTAAAGAGTATACGGAGACTCAGGAAAAGATCAGGAAAGAGGCCAATGCACTTAAAGGTATTTCGATATTATTAGTCCAGACCTGATTATAATGAGTTTCTTGGGCACATGATTTTTGGTCATATGTGAAATCAGTTATATGCTTACTAGTATATGGTTCTTTGTCATTAGTTGGGACTGGTACTTCCAGTTTTAAAATGATGAAGACATTGCAGGTATATTCCTCCTTTACTGTGTATTATATATAAAAGATGAAATGGAATGAATAATTGATTGAAATAGAAAACAGATGAAACCATCCTTGACTTATCATGTACAGAAGCATGAATTTCAGTCCCAGCACTGCTTGAATTTCAACACCAGCATGTTCCGTGTGTTACATAACACCTAAAGCAGGAAAACAAATTAGATCAGCTGTTGGAGATCTTAATGTACATAATAATACATATAAACTGCTGATCCAGTAAAGAAATTTATCAACTGTGTTATATAAATGCATTTTTAAGTAAGAATAAAATATCTTATCTACAGCTAAAATCAGAGTTATCACCTCTTCAGTATTTCAGCATCTACAAGACTAGTATTCCCTGATACAGATGAATTATTGAAGTGGTAAAAACTTATTACTCCTTCAATATTTCAGCATCAACAAGACTAGTATTCCCAGATACAGATGAATTATTGGAGTGGTTAAAACTTATTTTAAGCATTTCAACAAAAATCTGTCTCTGGTACTTTTAAACTACTGATCATGCTCATTTTTTCAGACACTCCACGAAGCAGAGGTCGGCCAAAAAAGAAAGCAGCAAAGGACACGTCGGCAGAAGTCAAAGACACTCCAAAAACCCCAGGAAGGAAACCCAGTAAAAAGGGGCAGGAGAAGCTAAAGGGTGGAAAAAGTGCAAAAGCCAGCCCTCCTGAGACCAGCAATGAAAAATTGGAGAGTAATAGAAAAAGCATCGAGAGTAAGAGGACTGATGATGATAGTGATGATGATGATGAAGACTCAGATGTTGATGACTCAGATAAGGAGTGGGAACCAAAAGGGGTAAAAATCCCAGAATCCAAGCTCACGAGGAAGCAGAAGTGTTCTTGTCGGATTTGCAAAAGGCAATTCGAGTATCACTCCCTCTTGAACAGACATTTGCATCAAGACCATAGAATCTCATCCACCGACTTGGCCGACAAATTAAAAAAGCAGTCCATACTTACATATTTCTTAAGCATCAAGAAAAAATTAAGGACATCAAACATGTGTATGACATGCAACAGGACATTTAAAACGTGGTCCAGTGCCTCGTTGCATATCAAACGAAAACACTTGAAACACGTCCACCGAGTGTGCCGTTTGTGTTTTAAGGAATGCTCAACGTTAACTCACCTACGAAGACATCAACTGGTTAAACATAACTTCACGCCTTTCAGCGGAGACAAAATGTTGCTTAAATGCAGGCTCTGCCCACGGGTCTTCTTGTACAAGAAATCCAGAAAAAGTCATGAGTTTACCAAACATGGAGCTATGGGGAAAGACATCGAGAAGCTCGGAGGAGAGCAGCCTAGTTTAAGATGGCGGCGACGCCTGAGGCGGGTCAGTAAATTCAAGTGCGGGGCTTGTTTCAGGAGGTACACCACAGAAAATCGTTTGCGGATTCATATGATCAAGTTCCATGGAGTGAAAAATGAGCAAAGGGGGAGCCACAAGTGCATGTTCTGCGAGCTGGAGTTTCCGCTGCCCAAACTGTTGAACATGCATGTGTCAGACTGCCATAACTGCGCATGTGAGGAAGGAGAAAACGGAGGTGGGTAAATGCATGTCTGCATGTGGCACACAGGCATGCAAACTCACACACACACTCTCTCTCTCTCTCTCTCACACACACACACACATATTCTCTCTCTCTCTCTCTCTCTCTCTCTCTCTCTCTCTCTCTCTCTCTCTCTCTCTCTCTCTGGTTAT